CCCCAAAACCCCAAAACCCCAAAACCCCAAAACCCCTGCGTGACAATTTATTATAGAGTCGTTAAATAATTCAAAACTTCAGCATGGAAATAAAGTCATTGGAGAACAACTACTTCTGCATCAAGGAGAAGAGTGATCTAGTCAAACCAATCAGAAATCACCTAATGAACTACTCTCAGCCATCCAACTACGGATCTCGAGGAAATGTACGATTTTTAACCTAAAACTTAGGCTAAATTGTGTAAAAAGAAGAGGCAGATACAGACCAACGAGAATTGTAATTCCTAACTGTGACCTATTATAGGTGCTGATGTTTACAAATAAACTTGACTATAAACTATACCTCAGCAGACATAAGAGCATCAGAGCTCAGCTTAGAAGACCTTCGATGACAAGTAAGTACCTAACTTCAAAGTATTCATGTTTAGAGTCAAAATCATTGATCGGAATCCGAGGCAAGAAATGCCGAAATTACCGACAAATACTACCCGAACAGAAGTTGGGATATGACAAGAATGTAACATTTTTGGCTTTTTAATGACTTTCAGGATGGGCACAAGTCTAACTCCAGTATGCAAAGCAGGAATTTGTCAACTAATACAAGGAATCTATCAACTAAAACCAGGAATTTACACCAGAGTATAAGTGCGTCCCATATTCTTGCCTCAGAAAGCTCTATATTTTTTTAATAAGACTAGAACTTGATACTAATCCTCAATATAGAATTTAGCCCTGACCAAAATACCTTCCTATCAACCAATGTAAACTATTGAAGCAAGGAAGTCCGAGAGGGCCTGAAAGGGAAGGAATTGTCCCATATTTCCATTGATAATGATGATAAATAATTTGTATTACTCAAGCTACATCCAAGGGAGCCACATCTCAGGCAAAAGTAGAAAGTAACAAGCAGACTCTTAATCAATGTAGCTCTGATATTCAGACAGCTAGTATAAATCCTGCAATTAAGACCCCTTCGTACTACTCAAGTAAGACAAAGTGCATAACTCTAGGCTTGAATCAGAATATTTCTCCAATGATGATAAAAAGCATGCTGATCGAGTCTAAGGAGAGGGATGTAGTACGCTAAAATTTTGTGATAAATAGAGTAATCTATCCTACTCAAAAGTGACCCACAAAAGGTATCTTAACAACCTTATTTTGTAGTTTAAAATAATGTCAAGAAGAACAAGAAGTTTGTCACTTTAGGTCTCAATTTTCTAGAGTAGTTAGAAGGAATTCCAAAGGAATCAAGTAAGCAATATCTTCAAACAGACACTTTAGGCTAAAGAGAACCAAAACTGATGGGAGCTATTCTAATTTCTCCTATTTAAAGCTTAAAGCTAAGCGGTTGAACATCCGAAATCCAGAGCTCCACTTAAACTCATGTACTCTAGAGGGTGACTTTTAGGTATCCACAAGCCGAAGATCAATGTTGAGGGAGACAAAGTGAGAGAGAAGGCTTGTAAGATCGCCACTCATAAATCAAACTCTAAAAATAACACCTCCTACTGTCACAGTCCTCAGAAGGGAAAGCCAGAACTTCCTGAATTGAACTGCGCTGAGAGAACTTCAGATCAGGAGAAACAGAGACCGAAGTAAGCACTAATTCTCACTTTTAGAACCCTTGAGTCACCAGAAAAGGTCAAAATGTATGATTGCTCATTCAAGGTATTCTTCAACAAGAAGTAGTTCAATTCTAAAATTTCATAAAGGGGTTTTGGGGTTTTGGGGTTTTGGGGTTTTGGGGTTTTGGGG